CACTATCCATTAAAAAGTCAATGAAAAGACCCAAAAAATATTTTAAACAGGTTTTAGCTTGTCCGATACTATAAAATACCTGCAAAACTAAAGGCATTTCCATCAGCCTCATTAGGAGGCTAGCCACCAAAATAAAATGGTTAACATACTGAAACTCATACCTGCTAAACGTTAGCATGTTCCAACTCAACTAGTACAGCCTCACAGAGCCACTAGCACGGCTCTAGGCTCTTGTGGGCCCTCCAGCTATATTGCAGTGTAATACTGGAGTCTCTGGAGTAAACCTTTATCATGTAATCATTTCTGCCTACATTATGCATCTACACATTGTGGGATATCAACTGAAGTTTGACAACATTTCTGCACGATGAAAAGCTGACCAATGAATTACTGGCACTACTGTGTCATAAGTTGCAAATATGTTACAATATATTGCTGCACATCTTTGTTCCTTCAAGAAGTTTTTCAACTCAGAGGAAGAAAGATTCTGCACTGTCACTTTTCAAAACTTAGCTGAGGGATGAAATAGAGCAGGTGAAAACAATGTGTGTCAGAACATCTGTTTTGCTGAATTTCGCAACATCTGGTTTGTTTCCCGACTGTCAAAAGTTTGGGAAATATGACTCATGCACAATAGGACACACTTTATATTAGCAGCCAGAGGGACAGAAAGGTGTTTCCAGGTTTTTCCAGGTGGTCCAGATATCGAGGGCAAAAGATGAAAAGAGGAAAGGACAAATGGAGAGCGATTTGTGAGTGATCATCACCTCTGGGCCTCCGACTGTTTGCCTGATCAATAAACTCTGTAACAGAGTCAACTATGTATGTGTGTGTTGTACGCATATGTGCATACTGTTGCTCTTTATAGAATGTTTAACTTCTGTTCAGCTATTTCTGAAAAACTGTCTGGGGGCAAAACTGGAGGAATCAATGGACAAAGTCTTAGTGTGTGTGTGCATGTGTGAGAGAGACAAGGAGAGAGAGTTTTCTCACACTCATTTCAATCTGTCTGGCAACTGGCTGTCACCCTAGGGTGGTGCAACCACTACATCTGCCTGTTTACTTCTTTTTCATTCAATATCCCAATCTGATACAAGACGTCAGGTCAACTAATACTGACTAATTGCAACGGATGAAGGGGGGTGGAAAATGCCATCAGCAAGCCGAATTAGTTTTAATTACAGCCTATAACCAGATATAGCAGATCTGTCAATCTCCAAGTCACTCTGCAACTGGGACAGAGGGGGTGAGTGGGCTGAAAGGAAAAACAGCACGGACCCAAAGGGAGGGGAAGGAGAGAAAGAGAGGTGTGCAAGAAGAAAGGAAGAAGAGAAGGAAAGAGGGTGTTTGGTTAGCCAACCCATCAGAGAAGCATTGTTCAAAACTGCATGCACAGTGTCTAACAAGTCACTCTGAGTGAAACTCTGCTGCCCTCTAAAGGTTCCATCCTGCAAAATATGGGCAGATCCAAAAGGCATCGAGTATCCCTGCGACTGTGTGTGGCTATGCACATGTGGGACGTGAGTGTCCTGATTGCTCGCAAAACCGTGAAGCCCTTTGAAGACAGACCAAGGGATTGGATGAGCTGTGGGTGCAGGGTCGGGTTACCAGGGGGTGGAGAAGGAGGAGAATGGTGATGATGTGAGGTGAGAAGCATGAAGGAGGGCCAGCAACAGCAACCAGGAAGAATGGATTAACACACTTGGATGAACCCTCCCCTCACACACACACACACACACACACACACACACACACACACACACACACACACAGGAAAGTCAATAGCCTGCAGGTAAAGCCAGCCTTTGGGAAGGTTTTCGCTCCATCTCAGTTTTAACTGAAAATCCCACTCTCGTCACATCATCACTTACCCGCAAATGCAGCTGTGAATAGACCACACAATGACATTTGGAACGTGTGCAAAAGTGTGCAAAATTTCCCTCAAATGTCAGAAGTGTTGAAATGCCACACACTATAAAGTTCCAGAGAGGAGACATTCTTCAACCCGATGCCCTAAAAAAACATCAGAAAGTTTACACCACAGCAGATACACTTTACTGAAAAGTGTGTTGCTAGTTAAAGTTTTTTCTCCAATGGTTGCATAGCAGACATTTTGGCATGTCATAGCAGGACGGGTGAACAATTGCTCCGTTCCACTTAGTGGAGGTCTTGCCATTATGCAACCAGGTTCACTGTCACGTTTACTGGGACACTTAATAACAATCTACCAGTTATTTTTCTGCTACGACAAGTCAGAATGTCTGCTGTGCAACCAGTCCGTAAGCACCTTACTCTGAGCTTTGTTTGTTTTACATGAATGGTTGCTATGCAGTTTTTTTCCTGCCTTTCTTAGTGGTTTGAAGTGGGCAAGGTGGAAAAAGGTGACGTCACATAGTTTTTTTCAGGTGATTATACACTGATGAAAATTGTATTTCCTTTCTGCCAACAGATTCTTCTGAATGTTACACACTGGACCTTTAATTAAGATTAAATCTGATTACAGTTAGTAGGCTGTTTGTCAAATATATAAATTACATTACAGTGAAATAAATAATATTTAAAACCACGTTTTTAGGGCCTTTAACCTTGGCTGGAGTTCAGTAGATGTTGTAGTGTATTCAAAAGCGGCTTTAAAAAGCAATTTCTCAGTATTTGCCAAAGGTCAGAGTTCACTGTATAGGGGCTGGGACAACAATTTGATGGTTCCAAAAGAGCTGACATGGAAAAGTTTTTCCATCATGTTTGCATCTCAAATTTAATTACATTTTCATATTTTGCTCTTCTTTAGGACATTTTTTAAGCTATACTTGCCTTTCAGTATGCCACTAGTGGATTGAATCTGCCTTGGAATGTTTGTACGCTCCATGTTTTCCTCAGTGGCACAGTGATCCAAGAAATATTGGACTGAGCTGAGTTGGAAAGGGTTTGCTTGTGTTGTGTGCCTATGTTTATACTCTATACCATTTATTATAATGAAGCGCTTCAATGACATGAAATGATAATGAAACATTTCATTTGGGGGAAAGACACTACCAGTGTTTGGATGAATATTTTGATTTATGTGATATTATGAAAACTATGGAAACCCTTTCCAATCAAAACGCATGCCAGTATTTCATTTTGTTATTTCCCTTTTGAAGCCAGCATTTTTTGTTTTTGTTCAGTTCATTCCAACATATTATAAATTACAACATATCAGAGTTTATCATTGATACAATCTGGCACTTATTTCAATTGCTGTCCCTTTAAAGTCGCTGTACAGATGAAGACAAAAGGCTTTTATATCTCAGACCTTATCAGAATGAATTAGTACATGAAAATGCCACGGCCACCACTCTACCATCACTCTCTGACTTTTCTGCCCACTGTGAACTGTAAAAAATGGATTAGCTTCATTTGTAAGGCAATTTCCTCCGAACGAGGGACAAGAAATGAAAAACACAGCCGCCACGCACACATGCACTCGCCATCTTCAAAAAAAAAAAGGATTGTGTGAATTACTGAATTATTTTTAGATGAGGCATGAATTTCCACAGCAGACAGTTTCTAATCAATTTTAATCAGGTCTTTTGCTGCTTTTTGTAAAGTATTGGATCTAAGACGTGTCAGACAACGGAGCAGTACAATATTGAACTTGGCTGTGAATCCATTATCAGCATGTGCTGGGCTGGAAATGTGACAAAACTGCAATCGGATTAGATACAAATGAAGACTGGTCTAAGTACACACTGCGCCAATGTGGAAATTGTCAGTGATCAGAATACTTTTGCCGACAAAAAGCTCTAACATAGCTGTACTGCCATTTGATCAGAGGTGTTTGATATAATCAAATGCTGCCTTTGTTACAATGATATTTTAACTAATTACATGTTCAGATTCAATTCATTTAAACAGCCATTTTATTAAATTAACTCCATTTAACATGTGAAAAGTGGACTTGATTAATGCTTTACCTAGCAGGTTTAAAACAATTAAAACCCTTCCCATCAGATAGATGTGCCGCAGGGACTGACTCGTCCTCTTAAGCCTCCACTGAGGAGGTTTGTATCATTTCATTTAATGGGACCCGATGTGTCCATAAATCAGATTTCAGTGCTGCAACCGCTCGCTGTGTGAGCAATTTGTCTTCTTAGTCCAATGGGAAATACCTGACTGGCTACTTTAAAAAAAAGTCATTACTTTCACGGTATAACATAATATATTTTTTTAAAAGTTCATAATTAAAAGCTGCTGGACTTTTAACCCAAACCGCTCTGTGGTCACTAACATCGGCCATTTCTGAACAAAGGTGACACAAAACAAGCCCTGGCTGCCAGCAGCAGGTGTGGAATATGTCATTGTTGTTTCCATGGCAACCCATACCACAGCCTGCACCGTCCTCCATTGTGGGATGGTGTGACGATGTCGCTCTTTTTTCCGTGTCCCCCACGCAGATCTGTGCACAGGGAGGTATGGGTCTCTTGCTGTCTCCAATATCTGCAGAGACACTCACACTGTCAAGGGCATCCTTTAAACAACTGTCCTTTTTATGCTTCTTTATTCTCCTCCCCCCGTCTTCACAACTGAACACCATCAATCTAGCCATTTACTTTAACTTTATTTCTCACTCCATTAGTTTCTAGGACACAGAGCGGCACAGGGAGAGAAAAGGGGGTGGGAGAGGGAGATAGAGAATGTGAAAAAAACGAAAAGAAAGTTTGGCTCCTTGGAGAGATAAAATGTAATTTCACAGTCAACTTGCTGTGATATATTATTTCACAACAATGGGGTGTGGGCTGATATGAGCCCTGGTTGGCACCTGTACAGAACAGTTAGAACATCAGCGATGGCTCTCTGGAGGGTTGGTGGTGTGTGTGTGTGTGTGTGTGTGTATGTGCACAATTACGAGAAAAAAAAACACCTGAATGGAGGTACCAGGAGGGTCCAGCCCAGTGGATCAGAGTGAGCACAGTCGACCGTAAAATGTGAGTAGTCATGATATACAGCAGAAAAAATTCCAGTTTTGTTTACAGTTATTTAATATGAAATAATATTTCCAGTTAGTGATTTCATGCCTTTGTGTATTGCGCTTTAGTGGGAATAATCAGTTTAACAGCAGGTGTGCATAAACCTGAACCAAGAAAAAAACTAAAAGATGAAATCCAATATTCAGCATGTCTGCAGTGAGACAGTTCAGCCAAATGAAAGAACCTAAAACATCATTTACTCCAGTAGCTGCACTCCCCTGTTGCTCCTGCTTCACCATTACACACACTGTTATCCAGGAACATGGTAAAGCATTGATAGATGCCTCGTGCTTCATTAGCTACAGTCTCTCAGCCTGGGAATCACTTACACAATATCAAACAGCTTCAACCAGAAACCCAATGAGGCAAAAAGCCTAACCTAGCATACAGAAGAACATCATGTGAGAAATGTTCTCATTTCAATTAAAAAACAATTTCAGCTGATGTCCATTCAATGCAGCTTCTTATTTATATGAAACATGTCACATACTGAAAGCAAATTAAATAAATGTCAAGTTTCAAGTCAATATATTAGTGACATCAAGTGCAGAGGTGTATTCATGGGTGTATCCTTGTCTCTTTCTCACAGTTTGCTGTTCTTCTGAAATTGGGACACCAGTCCCAGCACCTGCTCTGATGTCGTGATGACCTTATTGTGCAGGTAAAGTCCGCTGTTTTTAGACGTCTCGGTCAGGAAGTAACGATAGTTCACCATGATGCCGCAGGAGTTCGCCACACCTCTCGGGCTGGTGTCGGCGCGCCAGTTGAGCCGCCACATGGTGGCGCCATTTTGCAGATGAAAGTTGGCCACCGGGTTGAGAGCGTAGCCTCGCCTCTTTTCCCCGTAGAGGTACCAGGCACAGAGACGCATCAAGGCGGGCTCCAGGACACGGCACAGCCGCTCAGAGTGCATCCACTCGCTGGTGCCGATCAGCTTGCGGAGGGCCTCGGTGGCTGGGGCCCCCGTGGCTGAGTCAGTGGCCTGTTCTACCTCCTTCCACTCCTGCTCAGAGAGGAGGTCAGAGCCCCGGCCTTCTTTCCTGTACTGGCTGAGCAGGCCTTGGAGCCAGGAGGAGAAGCCTGGGATTGGAGACAGGCTGGAGAACTGGGCCATGTGAGGGAACTCACTCTGGAAGACATAAGGAGAGAGGGGGGAGGTAGAGTTTACCCTTAAAACACATATTTCATTGTCTTTAGAGACCCAGGGCCATTTTACACCCTGTCTAATTAACTGACTTCAACTGCCTTCCATTCGTCAAACTTTCTCTGGTTTAAGAATGCCAAAACTGCCAACACTTTGTTTTTCTAAGGTTTTTTTCAACAAGGTTTCGGGTCTTTAGAGACCTGGAGTGTATTTTTAACAGGTCTGAAAATGAAGACGTGTCTAAAGCAAATGAAGGTGGGGATTGCATTACTATGCAAAATGATCAGTCAGATAACTCAGAAGCAGAACTGGAGCATGAATGTGAGAATGTTAGCTCAGAGGTCATGAGCTTTACAGGCAAAACTGCAGAGTGGTGCGTGCAGTGTGCATAACCATGTTGCAATTACCACCAGATAGTAACTGATTTGTGCTTACTGTGCTGACTTGTATTTGGAACACAATATACACACACATAATATATAAAAAGTTGTTTAAATTATTTTTGGTGTCTATAAAAGTGTCCAAAAAATAAGTAAATAAGGGTTTATTGTTGTTAATACTATATTCCTATGTTTAATGTCTATGTTTGAAAAGTGCAGAAGCGGTGTTATTTTGTCTGTGTTTAATATGGAACTAAAGACCGAACTGTGCGCAGGAATGTTTGGAAAGGCAGTAAGGGTTACAAAAGTTTTGAATCATCTATTTTGAAACACAAAAATGCATCATAATCTGCATGCATGCAGAGACAGCTCAGTGCGGAATTGCCTCAACCTGCCGTAGCCAGCTTGAAGGAAAGGGGGGGGGATCTAGGAAAGGGACGGGGATGAGAAAACAAGGTAAGGGTATAAAGAAAACGGATACGAGGCAGCAGAGATTTGATCCCCACCAGAATGCAAAGGGCAAAAGCGGAAATAAGGGAGATAAACACTCAACCTCGGTTTCAAAACACAAAACTAAATCTTCTTGTTTGTGCTCAGGCCTTCAATTCCTCAGACAGGGACTGCATTACAAATCAACTCCATCGCTTCACGATCCTGCCCCGCTGATGGAGATGGATGATCCTCTCTCTCCTTCCCTCCTTCTTATTCTAGCCTCCTCCTCCTCAGTCCCTTGCACTCTCACCTTTAAGTCCTCTTTTCTCACTTACCTCTCCCCCATGTCTCTGTCTCGACCACACACACAACACGCCCACCCACCCACCACATCTCATGAGTTTTCTTCCACCCCGCTACCCTCTCCTCTCGCCAAAATCCTCCCCTTCTTCCCTGCCCATATTTTTGCCCCGGCGTCTGGGTTGATAAGTGACGGAGCGATGTGGCAGGCAGAGGAGTGAAAGGCTGCAGATGAAAGTGGAAGTGTCAGACAACCCCTGCAGGGACACGCTGCTGTCTGTCTGCCTCGCTCTGCAACATTGTTTTCCTTGCTTCCTCCTTGATTGCTTCACCTCCTTTCACTTCAAAATACAGCCTTCTCACTCTCCATGTCCCTCGGTGTTTCTTCTCACAATACTGTATCATGATCTCGCCCTCTTCACTCCACATTGAACTACCGGGTGCTCTTTATGTTGAGAGTGGGCAGGGTTAACAAAGCAAGGAGGCGGTGGAAATAAGGGCAGAGGCAGCAGGAGAGGTGAAAAAGGAAGGGGGAGGAAAGGATATAGAGAAAAAAGAAGAGCGGTGCCAGAACTTTACTCCAGGGTCCAATCTCCAAAGACAAGCAAGACCTCCTCCCTTCACCTTAAATCACGACTGTGACCTTTTCTTTTCCACTCTATCATCTATCCATCATCACAGTGGTCCCTCTGTGGCTGCGCTGCTCTTCTCCTCACCTTTACGTAAAGTAAAGCCCTGTCAGTAAGCCAGGGCCTCTGCGGAATACAACTGTGTTGTGGTTTTGTGTAGCCTCAAGGGTATTGCACTTATACACTGTGGGTCAGGAGTTGGATTCCCACTAGAGTGAAAAATGAATGCACTCATGAGGTTTCTTTGGATAAAAGCATCCAGACAAGGGTATGAAAGTCAAATTTAAAAAATTGGAAATGAAAATTTCCAAGCAGTACTTTATACTGCCCTACAAACCCAAAATGCAAATCAATCAAAATGGTGTTAAAACCAGAATGGGACATTTTGGAGTCTGTTTTGCAACATTAAATACCATACATCTTTGCTTGCTAATCTGCTCTAGAAGCCGTGGTCACTTAACTGTGCTCTCCACCACAGAAAGCCAATTAGACAGCTAAAGCAAAAGAGTTAGCTAGTGGGATAGCCACCTCTAGCCTTAGCTTAAACTAAATGTACTTTTTCTCTAGCTGTTAACTGTAATTGAAAAATTTACATTAAGCTATACTCTACACTAATGGTGACCCCACCGGCTAAACTCCTCCTAAAGCTAATGTGACTAACTAGATTAGCAGAGAAACTAACTTTCATCTCAGCTTTTGACTCTAGTTCAATTTATTCAATGTGGTGAGTTTAAGAGACCTTGAAAAACTCAAATTCCAGTTTTCCTCAACACTGATTTGTAGTACTGCTGTGTGCTTCTGTAGAGAAGTATAGAGAAGCTAAAAAGTAGCACACCTCTTTTTTTAGATTATTATTTTTGCATTAGAAAGACAACAAAGATGACAGGAGAAGATGCTGACATGCAAAGCAAGCAGACCTCTTGATGAAGACGACATTCACCATCTGTAAGGCTTTTACGCCGCGGTGCAATATAACCTACTTTCCAAAACTCTGACACAAACAGCCCTAATGCTAAAGCACAAAAACAACATGTGCTGAGCTCACAGAAACGTATGTTTCCATTAATACCAATGCCAATAAGTGAAAAGCTTGCAGCAGTCAAAACAGTCTCATTGTATGAAGAACTAAAAGTGAAAGAAGCTTAAAGCTCTGGAACCCGATTTTTATGAGGATACACTATAAAGAGCTATTTCCCATCTGTTGGGTAGAGTGGCTTTTGATGTTCCATTCAGTGTTCCAATCATTTAACAAGTGCTAGCTGGAGTGGCCCGACATGGAGGGCTCTTCTGCGCTTATTGAGAGGGATAGATGAGATTTCATTACTGTCTGTCTGCTGACTACTGCTCTGTTTATGTGTGGATGCATTCAGCAAGTGCTAAGACGAGTGGGAGATTTATGGTTCAGCACTGAAATGAAAAGAAAAATGAAAACTTTGGCAACGCAATCAAACAAAATTTTTTTTCCTGTTACTGCGATATTTCTCGCTGGGATAACTGCGCCAGCTGGGCAACACCTGAAGGCTACGGTGTAGTCTTTTAATGGAATTCAGCATGAGTCATACAGAGTGAAACGTGTTGTTGTTCATTGGGAGGAGAACACCTTTTGCTCCTGCACAACAGGGGAGGAGCTGAGGAGCGTTGCAGGAGTTAACAGCTGTGTCTGTGCCATGTATTGTGTTATGTGAACTGTCAAGATAAGGTGTTATTATCCAGCTATAATGAGACAGGATGCTTTAAAAGCTTTACTGACAGGACGCTTTATGGTTACTGTATTTAGATACATAACCTTGCCTCTTCTGTGACCTTATACCTTAACTCGCCTTTACCCAAGCCAAGACCTTATGGGAATTCAAACAGAATGGATTCAAATCATTTTCCTTTTGCAATGGCTTTGGCCACTGTACCAATTTCACAAAAACAAAAACTGCTAATTTTCTAAGACTATAGGAATAGAAATGAGAATAAATATGCAATTTATGCAGAAGCCAGTATTTGAATTGATGTAGAGTAATAATGCCCTTTGAAAAATTTAATTTGATTTATTAAATATGCTGTTTGACTTCAAATATAGATCATGAAGACTGACTTTACCACACAGCAAATTATACATTATGTTTGTGAACGTACTTCAGTGAATTAGTTAACATTTTCTGTTATGTGTCTACCACCTCTCGTTTATTCAAGACCTTTGATCTTTCAGTTAGTCAGTCAATGTATGGTTCGTAATTGGTAGCCATATAAATAACATTAACTATACTTTAAAGTTAAATGATTTCAAATACAGCCAGCGAGCAATATTATAATGCTGGAAAGCATGTGGCATTATACTGCAATTAAAACTACTGTAACAAACACCGGATACTCTGACATTGAGAGTAACCAAATGATTATTTGGAGGAGCATGTGATTTAATGTTTTGCACTTTGTATGTTAACACAGAATTTTATGTTTAAGGGTACCAAGAAGTCAGTCTGGTTCTTTGTATTAAGAGTTTCTGTTGCAAAATGTGAGCCAAAGTAAACATAGACTACTGTAAAATATGTGGTGGGAGTGATAATTTCTCCAGCTCCTGCTATAAATATGAATTAATTCAAATAAATGTAAATTTCCTAGCATCAACATCCATAGTTCTTAGACCAACATTTTTATGATAAATGTAATACACACCATCTTGCATCCCACCCGCACTCACCTGTAGTTCTCTGACCACCCTCTTAATGAGATAGTTGCCCAGCTCCACCCCTTGTAGGCCAGCCTGGGTGGAGGAGATGGAATAGAAGATGGCTGCATTTATCTTATTCACATCCTCCTCAGAGTCAAGAGTGGCAAACTCACGGACGATACTCTAAAAGAAAAACACACATTTTTGCACAGTCACAAAGAAAGATTCTGCGTTACTCTTCCAAACACATGCCCACTCTCTGTGTTCTTAGCTAGACAGCTGCAGCCAAGGCAGGAATTTTACACATATTTCAGAGCTTCTGGAGCAAAACTGTGGATATCGCTGCAATATTTCAAACCATGGAATATTTCAGTGTTGTCAAAACCACTTTTTTCCTCACTGTAAACGGCAAGAAAAAAAAGTCAGCACTGTAGAGGTTGCTCCCAGAGGGATACGCAGTTTAAAGGTCTTGGTATTGTTTTTTCACACAGCAATAATCCATTTGTCAGCTGAAAGGAGGAACAAAATAATAAATCCCTGATGTTTAACTATCCTCCAAGGTGTGATAAAGTGAGGCCGCAGCTATTGTTTCTAACCTGAATGTTATCAGAGATGTCCTCAGTGAGAGCCACGTGTAGTACAACCAGGGGTTCTCCTGGCATGGCAGCGTGGGTAAAGGCATAACAACGGCGGTACGGCCCCACTCTGCGCTTCAGGTCAGTCCAGTTCCTTACAGGGTGCACTGCCTCATACCTGGCAGAGAACATAGTTAGTATTTCAGTTCTCAATTAAAGCTGCAGGTAATTTTTATAAAAAGAGATTTTTTTTTAAAATGTTTTGTTATATTTGCTGAAACTTTCACTGTATCCTGAGGATAGTCCTGGGGTAATGGAGACAGATAATCTGTGAAACAAAATCAGGTTCCTCTGGTTCGTGTTAGCGCTCTGAATTCACTGGGGCTGCACGACAACAACCAATCACAGTCAAGGAAGATAGTTGATTGTTGAGTCTCATTAGAGGGCGTACTACTAATACACTTTGGGACTCTGGGAATCTTCAAGCTTTCAACCCAAAGTGTCTTTGTATCTCTCTCAGCTCTGATTGGTCGTTCAGGGCCAGTGGATTTTTGCAAATGCCATTAGGAGCACTAGGAGGAGCCAGAGGAACCTGTATTTTTAACAGATTATCTGCCTCATATACTTTTAGGATATAGTGATAGTTAAAAACAATTTTCTTTATAAAGATTACCTGCTGCAGCTTTAACTGTTTGCTAAGCCCCACCCTCCTTAGCTACTGTTGCTACAACTGTCAAGCTTTCCATTCTTAGTTATTTTTTTTTGAAACATCAACTCACTGATTTCAGACGGAGGTAGACAAAAGCAGGATTTTCATTTTCTCATTTTGCTCCTGAAACAACTGTCGCTGGCAGATTTCATTCACTGTAGTAAATTAGTTCCGGGAGTTGGTTTAGACCATTAAAAGGTGGCCTTTTATTGTTTCCAGCTGACTTGTTTTGAAACAAAAACCCTGTAAAATGTGTCTTAAATATGCACTTGATAGCTACACATGATAGCATGCTAAAAAGCTGTTTGTAAACAGTTCGATTTACAGCTCCACAATTCTAGTCACAGTTACAAAGCCATGATGGGGGGGAGGGGTTAAGAGAACAGTCAGTTTTCATACCTGTTATGTGTCATTTGTATGTAAGAAAAGAGAGTGCGGTGAAAGGAAAAGGTGAGAAAAAAAGGCTTGTGAGGGAGCATGAATGCCCTTACTGGCTGATCTTCTGCAGGATCTCGCAGGGGGACTGCCAGGTGATTCTCTCCAGTCGGAGCAGACCTATCGAGAACCACTCAGACAGCAAGCTCTTCAGAGTGCCATTCAGGTCCTGGGAGAGAAAGAAAGGTAAGGGTTTAGAATTTTCCACGTCCAGCTGATAATAGAAAATTCACCACATTCTTTCCCTTGGCAGGCAGTCTGTAGGGAAAATAAAAGCAGAATCTTGCATTTGTATTTCATAATACAGCAGGGACTACATATTATAGAAATAAACACTAGTATGCCTGTAAATCATATATGCACATGAAAAGGAAAAAAGAGGTCAAGGTGTCTACTTTATCTGAGCCCTGTAAGAAACGTCCTTTCACTGTACCTTTTTTGTCAGTTTTTTTACATCTTGTAAGGAAGAAACACCATAAAAGTATACCCTAGAAATTGCAGCTTTTATATGACTATTAAAGAAGTGGATAAACACACAGTCTTTACAACCACACAACCTTTTATTGAGAGAACTCACAAGCTCTACCTTATTGACTGACAGCGAAGTTGCTTAAGTTTGTCTGGAGGCTATAAACAATTCCATACCGGTATCTTACACACTGCGCGGGGTCCACGGCCCCCTGGGTGTCTGTATGCTGTTTGAATGTTTTCACATTATGAGTAGTGATTTGTTTGAGCTTGCAATGGGTGTAGAGGAGGCACTTCAATAAACAACTTGCCATTTCAAAGCAGGCGCGTCCTCCTGCAAAGGTCAGACTTCATTTAAAGCAAATCTCCTGCAAACACACAAACAAGCGCACACGGTGCACGCACGCAAACACACTCAAAGACATAAATACAGCTTATATTGGCTGTTCCATAGGATGACTTCACTTCAGGCTTACTTTAATGCCGGCTTGTCAGTCATAATAATAGCTAATACAAACAAGCTCAAATACAGTCATGGTACAAAAGCCACTGGCTGAACTTCACTGCGAGCCACTATCAAAACCAAAACTAACAACATTTGAAATTCTTCCCCACATATATGCATCAGACTCTGCATTATTCAGCTCTATGCTTGAGAGGTTTCACACTGGAAAATTCTGTTGAGTGAGGATCAAATCAAAAGTAACCCTCGGAGAAAGAAAAGAAAAGTTCAGCAAAACTTCCATCGCGGCTTGTGTGCGTGTATATTCACTGTATGTGTATTTGTGTTGTTCTAGCTTCACAAGCTGCCCAAGGAAAAAATAATCTATGATGGCTGATAATCCCAGCCCGGCATTTCTGTGGAAGAACACAGCACTTCAACAACCCGAGAGAGTGCAGCCTTCGGTAGCCAATTCTCACCCACACAAAAGAAAGGCCAAGCTGAGATGTGTATGCCATTGACCTAGCCGAAGATGAAGTCTTTTGAAATGGAAGGGGCAAACGCATTTGAAGCCTGAGGTTAGGAGGAAGACGGAGGAAAGGAGGGAAGGGAAAAGAAGGAAATCCAACACACTTTTTGACACCGGCGCTGTATCAATGTGGCGAGGGAGTGATGTTGTGAGCTGATGCAGCCTCTCCTACCTTGAGCTGCAGCTTTTATTGTGATTATACAGAGCAATGGAGACTGCAGTGGCTGGAAGAAACAGTCTGTCTCCCCAAGGCCAAATGTGCCACGGACTGCCAAAGTGTTTACAGGTCAAGACTGAGTGAGTGTTTCCAATACCTTTACTCCAGTAGGCTGCCTGCCACTCATCAGCCTGGAAAGTCTTTCTGTGGGGGGGAAAAAATAGCCTCACTGATACTTTGGGAAATCGCAAGAGCCAAGCTAAAATGACATCTCAGACTTGGTTTTATATCTTTCATCCACTGAGTCTGTGGACAGGTGCATACGAATGAAAGGCCTGGAGGTAGGAGGAGTGAGGAGGAACATCAAAAATCAATGACCCAACCAAGATAGACTAATCTAGCATAAAATTCAAAGCAACACTCACAGTCATTGCAGGGTTGTGAAATCCAAACTTTAGTCATTTATATTTTCCCCTCCATGTTTCGGTGCTACTTTCATTATCTGAAAGTTTTTCTCTCCCTTGGTATGCACATGCTATCAATACATGTAGTAAAAAGCTTCATATTTACCATGACCTTTTCTCAGTTTTAGCTCAATCAATTCTGGCAATAACAACAAGAAAAGATTGCTCTGCGCCCCCCCCAGACCAAGGTGGTCAGCACTCAGTACAAATGAGTACTCTGTAGGTAGCTTAGACCTTTTTAAGCTACAAAAGGTCTCAGTGGGCCTTGGTTATTGAGATTAAATGCATCTAAACCACCTCGCAGCAGGAATAAAATAGATTTTGAGCGGGAGAGAAGAGGATAGAAGTCCACAGGCGACAGTGCAGTCAGGATCATATTAAGCTCTACTCCAAAGCACAAACAAAACATAAAAACTGATCACAAAGATGATAGAAAACTTTTTTGGCCCCACATGATCTCAAGCAGGGCAGTTTGAGTTTGCCCATTACAGCTTTTGATGGCACACACATCAATTTTGTCATCTAGTTTATTGCGCCTCAGCGTGCATTTCCTCTAGTGTATTTTAGATTTAGAGGCTTTAGTCTAGGCCACTAAATCCCACTACTAAACCAAAGCATCCTTCTTGATGGCTACTTTCTTTGGATTACGTCTACATATGAGGCATTCTGCTTATAGAGCTACTGGTGGCCTGTGATACACAAATAGCAATTCTCCAGCCTGCTGGAGTAAAGCCACTGGCCAGTTTATAAATGCAGCTTCACGTCATCTCAGCATGACTCCAACTTAGAGACAGAGCCAACATAGGGAATACAAGCCAAACTGATGGTTAAACACAGACTTCGACAGTTCTGTTCCCTCTGTCAAGCTTAAAAATGAGTTGATTCAACATAAACAACTCAATTCTGCTACAGATTGAATAATGCTTGCCCGCACTGAGGAGCAGTTTGTTTCTATTTAGCTGTACTGGAGGCAGGCCCTGCTTCCACCAATAACACTAGAGCTGAAACAATGACAGAAAAATAATGGCATGTATTTTTTTTTTATATAAATTATTAATTGCTGAAGGTTTTCTTGATGGATTTTTCCTTATATGATAGTAAACTTTGAGTTTTTTTTGTGGTGTTGGTTGGAAATAAACAAAGCAATTTCATGTCTTAATCTTGGGCTTCAGGAAACTGCACATTTTGTCCTGCTTTCAAACATTTTATAGACCCAAGAATTAACCGATCAATCAGGAAAATAATTGGCAGGCGAACCGATGATGGAAAATAATCATCTCAATTAAGTAGTTCTTCTTTAGCTCCACTATTAGCTCCTATAGATATGGCGAAAAAAGAACTAGTGGAACATTTATCTGCACAGTATTTAGTTGATGCAACCGTTGGTGCATTTTAATTAGAACTCTTAAAGCACGTTAGTTAAAAAGAATTAGCCTGTCAAATTACCCTCTTTGCACTGAAGGGGTGAGCATGTATTAATATCAAAACATTTACGGTACATTTAATATGTTCTACACGTGTGTGCTCATTGTGGCCTCAGAAACTTGACTGGGAAAATAGGATTCATTTGAATTTGCGTGCATGGAATTAACACGAAGGGAACAGGAAGCTTTCTGTCTGAAAGATATTCCACTCTTCTACACTGCATTGCTGAATGAATTTAAAATTGTGATTATAAGCGACTGAAGATGAATGACTGAACAATGAGGTAAATGAGACTGGAAAGGGCAAAAATGTGCCATTAAGTGGGCGAGGATTATTTTATTATTGATTTATAAACCACTCTTTCACCTTAATGCAGCAGAGTAGCTCTTGCCGCTTCGTGTATACAATGAAACTTTGTTATTGGGGCTTTTTTTTTTTTAGACAAGAGTTTCAGAAAATAAAATAATACCTGTCTAACCGATCTGCAGAAAGCACCTAACATATGAGGAAACAGACAGACATCTAGCTCTGTTCCTCTAGTTTGGCAAGGAGGGTAAACTGGGGCAAAGGTAAATGCCACTTGAGCTGTGATGAAATGTGACCCATGTGATGAGGGGCAAAGCAAAGGGTGCAGTTTATGCCTCAGTCAGTGGGGGGGGGGTTATGTGAGCAGCTATCAGATGATGCTGTTATATACCACATACAAATAAATGCACCCACATTCCTAAAGATACAGGCCTACTCAGGCAGCAGAGCGCCTAAACGGCAAAAAAAAAAAGACACCGTTTGACTCATGCGAGCACCCGTAGGAAAAGTAAACAAACGCTTTACCCTGATGTGCGGGCTCTCGCTAGCTTTGGATGAGATTATTTCAAGCACATCGGCTCGCAGATCCACCAGAAACTTCACTCCCCCCTCGACCCTGCTGATGTGATTCAGCAGCTGTTTATAATGGGGAGTCAGGCTGTAACGGAGTCGGTCTTCCACCTGCAAAATGGTCGCCACGTCCCGGAGCTGAGTGTCCAAGAGCTTCACGGCGAGCTCCGAAACGCTTCTGTGGTCGACTCCGAAGTCTTGCGACAGCTTCGTCAGGAAGCCGAGTTTGTCTTCCTTGTCGAGGCTGCTGTAGAAGTGCATGAACTCCAGGCTGTTTGATTCTGGAGGAGGAGGGGACTTGTCTCTCGTTTCGTATGTGGGTAAAGGTGCAACGACCCTCGCTAGTATCTCCTCCATGCCCGCGACAGCGCCACGAATTGGGGTCGAGTACCAGCGCCAAACGCCGACGTCCGAGGCCCCGAGAGCCGCTTTGAGGACAGCTCGGTGTCGCCAGCACCTCGTACTGACGCGGAAAGCCCAGATAACAGGGTGGGATATCATCGCCGGGAGGGAGCTCCGCTGTCTGTTCGGAACCCGAGACCAGTGAACACCCAGCACGGAACCGCTTCCGGGCCTCTTAAAGAGACAGTACAGCTGTCATGGCAACAGGTTAGGAGTTAGACTGCAGGTCAATGACAGGTGTGTTCTTACTATAATACAGCCATGTAATATATTCACAAATATATAGGAATATATTTGTGTTTTATATTCATTTTGTAAATCTGAAATGGATTCAATCACACCTTTTTTTTATTTATTTATTATTATTATTTTTTTATTAAAAAAGCACCTTTCATACAAACATACAGGCCAAAGTGCTTTACGTAGCAAATTAAAACAACACAAAAAACCTAAATGAACCACCATAAATAGGCTGAAAGTGAATACAATAAAAAATAATAAAATGTAAAACATAAAAAATAATCAATAGAAATAAATGTCCATGTGAAAATAAACGCCACGGAGACAAATAATGTAGAAACCAAAGATTAAAACCTTAAAACCTAGGCTATAACATTACTCCATTGACATTTAAAAGAAAAGCAGTGGAGGACCTTAGTGATCTGGCTGGAACATTAAATCAAAGAAAGGGTATTATGTATGGAGGAGCAAGTTCATTTAAAGCTTTACAAAAAATAACGTTAAAATAAATAAGAAAAGATACAGACAGCCAGTGCAGTGTCTTCAGCAGTGGACTGATGTGATCCTAGTTTCTGACTACCTGTAGCTTTCATTTGGACATTTTAGGTAATCCCGTAAAAAAAGAATTACAGTTATTCAAACGACTGGTAATAATAGCGTGAGTGAGTATTTCAGCATCTTTCTGACTTAAAACTTAATGGACTTCAAATTAGGCAATATTCCTAAACTGAAAAAAGGGTGTTTTTGTTACCTTGTTAAAATGAGAATTCAAATTTAAATGAGAATCTAAAATCTATTTTGGGTTGTTTACTTTGTTATTATTTTGTGTTCAGCAAATTCATGTAATTTTCTCAATACATGGTTTTATTTTCATCTTCTCATACTGAAAACAGAGTTGATTGAAAGTAAGGGATAATGCCTGACAGGGTGTCCATTACAGTAATTTGATGGGATGTTGTACAATACTTATTTGTTCATGTTTATGTTGTCATTTGGATGTTTTGTATTCTACAACAAATAACAATTTAGTCACCATAATATGGAAACCTAAAGGTCTGCACACAGCCTATGAGTAACCAGTGACTGTTTAATGAGTTAGATATACAGCATCCATAAGAAGTGAATCCAGAGAGGATCGTTGTTGAGTTTTTATAATAATCTGTAACTTAGAAATGTCTGTTTGACAGAATTAAATCAACTTATTGGATGCATTATGTGGACATCATGTCATATAAGTAAAAAAAGAAGGAAATGAACAAAATAATACGTATTTTCTTAAGAGCTATTTTGGAACTGTTGGTGTACCACAAAAGCAATGTACACAACAATATATACAACTCTGTGTCTCAGCCTATTCTCTTTCTCTTCAATAGCATTTTGTTGCTCTGCATGGTTGAAAAATGGCCAAGCAGCACAATAAGGGGTAATTTTGCAGGATCAAGGGTATATTGCAGAGCAAACACTTTCCTTTTGCTTACCACGTCCTCAACAACCCGCAGATTCTAACTTCTTTTTACACATTTTGGGAAGCAGATTTCTGTCTGCATCCCTGACAGAACTGGATGGAGTCAGACAGGACTGTCCAAGGATTGTCAACTACACCTTATTTCATGTATTAAGTAAAGAAAGATCTATTCTTAGATTTGGCCAACAGCTTGTCATGAATATTCCTTTCTGATTTCACAATTAAGCAACACGTTCTCATTGACATACCAAGACTCATTTTGTTTTTATGGCAGCTGTCAGAACATGAACACATGTGAATGACAGCACTTGTATTGCGATATGTTTCGTTGAACAATATTAACAGATGGGATGATGGGTAAAGGATTACTCAACACTGCTGGCAGTAAGCAATATTTTAGAAAGACAGTCAATTCTACAGATCTTACTTCTCTATATATTGCCATATGTTGTATTATAAATGTACATACTTAGACATGTTTTATTATTTTCTATATCTATTTTTATTTTATGTGTGTATACCAATATTCATTCCTATTTTTATTTCTATATATATTGTTAGATATTCTAATATAATTATTATTTCTATTCTTAATGTCGTGTGAGCACCTTGAGCAGCAGTAACGAACAAATTTCGCCTCGGGGATCAATAAAGTATTTCTATTTCTATTTCTCTGTTGTTGCTCGTGCTCATTGATGCATTCTGTTTATTGTCTAACATTTGAGTAACGGGTAACCTGGACTAGAATGAGACTTATTATTATGCATTTGCTGAATGCCAATCACTCACTAGATACATGAATAGAGGGAAAACAAGAAAAACGATTATGATGCATCCACCACTACGAGGCCTCGTCATCATTATATTTATATGTATATTGCTGAATACTATTGATTTGTTTCACCAGTATTTGATTGCAAAGAGCTGCATGGTGACAGACTGACTGAGTTATATACACCACCGCAATCATCATTTGCAATATTCATTTATTGGCTACAATCTTTTTCAGATTACAAATTATTTGGAACCAGCATAAATGATTTATTGATTACATATTATAAACCTCCATGCTGCTCCATTGTAACCATTGCGTCCAGCATCAGACATCCTGCAATGGCAGCTAAAGTTTATATTGTATTAATCTGATGTTTTGGTGGAGGCACAGAGCTCCAGGTTTGCTCCCCATCAAATTATTATTAATTAATAATAATTATTATTATATGATTTTTTTATATTGGCCTCTTTTATGTATCTTTCTGTCTGTGAAAATACAATAAGTTCTGTGGAGAAAAACTGCACTGGTAACTGTCTGAATTCCACCTTGCTGGTGCATACCGTTCATTATTGCTTCTGTCTACAGCATTTTCCATGAAGTCAAGGCCTCCTCCTCTATTGAAATCATCCATTCAGTGTAGAAGCATCAATCATCTGCTCTCTGTTGCTTGACAATGTTTGAACTGTCTCCCTATAGAGTGATGTATCAATACTTACTGTGGGCCACTCAATCATGTCATCCACTGCAATTTTGTTATACAACTGCAGTATAAAAAGTCTGTATGAGGTGCAATGACCTTTTGTGCTCTTTTGACGTTTCAGTGTTTTGTTAAGTGAGTTTTTTTTTTTTTTAATGAATAAATAATTTCAACATCTGTTATCATTTCCCATAGTTTAGGTCACAAGGGGACAATAACTATAACAAATTGAATAATTTTCTTTTTTAACAAGGAACTTTGTAAAAGTTATACTGCTGATTTAGAGGCTTTAGAATTAAAGTATAAAAATAATAAAATGTGGGCTATAATTTGGAATTTCAATTCAGTCTAAAGTAATAATAATTGTTATTTAAAGCTTGTGTGCAGTGATGGTATTGTCTGTCAAAAACCCATTTACAGTGATTGCACCTTTCCAGAAATTTCAAGCAACAGTATGACCTATGCTGTATCCTTCTGGGATGAAGTGATGGAAATAAATCATTGCCTCAGTAAAGGGTGGGCTGAAAAGAGCACAAAGACTAGATGTAGATTTCTCTCTACAAATGGCAGAGAAGGCAAGAACAAACACTGCGGACCTGAAGAGGCAATGTGATGACACTGCCGTAATGCAAACCAAATACACTTGTGTCAAGAGGTTAATCAGGAGCAAAACTGAGGCCACTAAGTCAAGTGGTCCTTGAGACTTGCTTGCTTGCAACTTTGCACCTCCAGTGACTGTGACAATTTCTTACTCTATTATTTATCACCTATCCAATCTTCTCCACTTCTCACACTGTGTTTTATCACATCAGTTCACAAAACATTTCCCTCTATAAACAATAATAGGCTACTGTCCGGTGTAAGGCAAAACAAATGATGATACAGGCTTTGCCAAGATGCCTCATCTATCCAACTTACATAAAAATGGAACTGATTCTGTACCCATTGACTTTACACACCAATCCATATCATAATTTAAATTCCTAAACACGGTGATGCTGCATCTCATCCTTTCAGGTTTTGTCAGACCAATTAGGTCACAGATATGTCAAGAGTTATGGAAACCCCAACCATCTACATACCAGTGGTCCCCAACCTGGGGGTCGCCAAAGCTTCATGGGAGGTCACGAGGCCTTCTTGATTGTAAGAAAACTTAAGAAATATACACACTTGGCCTATATCTCAACATTTGGTTCACTTCTGTGAAGAAATATAAATGTAAAGTTAAGTAAAGTGGAAGGAAATTGTCTAATAGAACAATGGCCAAGTGTCAGGGACAAGAAAACAGAGAATTTGTATGCATGATTGTTAATAAAAATACACAATAAAGACCGAGAACTGTATAAAAACTCTCTAACCTTTTGCAGTAATTGAGTAAACCCTGGATTCATTGTACAGTTTTGAATATAATATGGAACATCCATAAAATATGTCACTAAGGGGGTCGTCAGTTTACTAAATGAGAGAAAAGGAAGGAAAAAGGTTGGGTCTCACTAATCTACACCACACCCGAGCCCTAAAGCCATGAGAAAACCTTATATATATACACAGTTAATGGGGGGAAACCAACACAAGACATCATCATCCTGTCCAGAGACACAGAATCAGACGGGTTACAGAACTCGGTGTAACACCACCCAACATGGCGACTCGCCGAACTTCCTCAGCCAATCAGAACTCAGCGGGAATCAACGTCCGCCCTGCAGCTCGACGCTAGCCGAACTCGGTGTCGCGCCGATTGTGTCCGTGAAGCGAATTTATCCACCTGTAGATCCAAGTTTGTGTGTGTGTTTTTTTGTTTTTTCACGGTCCAGAATTAATCGATATTGCAAAGTGAGTCCACGAACGTTGGCAAACCGAACAAAAATCAACGTTTTTTTAAAAGCTGATGTTAAAAGTTAACGGTAGTTTTCTGCTCGCCATAGCTACAGGTGGCTAACTTAGCCAACGTTAGTTCGGTAATTGGCTAATTTGGAAAAGTCAAAGCGTTCAAGGGCGGGGTTTTTAA